TGTATATATATATAGTGTTTGTGCACAAATTATATATAAAATGTATATTTTACAAATTCTGCAATCACCATCTCATTAATTTAGAAAACTAGGCTACTTTGCACCCGTTATTTCTGTCATTTCTGCATTATTTCCAACCACACTTTTTATTCTGACAATCAACTGCAACATTATTATTATGGGCAACTGAAAATTTCCCATATTTTAGAATTTTTACAAATTTGCTCTCTGTAGCATTATTGTTTTATTTATTTTTAATCATTTGTATTAAAAAAAATGTCGCCTTGTGGCCCCACTGCATATTTGACAGTTTTCATTTATTCATTCTTTTGACAGAAGGGGTGCTAATTGATTTTGAACAATTTTGCCTATTTAACATCTGATTAAAAAAATAAAATCAAAACCTAAGACCAACATATTCTAAATAGTTCTATGAAAACACAGGGAACAACCAAACATGGAGAGATTTGGATTTAAATACAGGCAACTATATGATCCATCTATTTATGCTGTGAAAGTTTTTTTGTTTTACTTGTTCCAGCACATCAAAATTGTGATAGCTTGTCACACAGCCAATTTAGACCAAATGTTTCCTGATTAATTACTCATCATCTTCTCATAGCGTCCTTCTATGTGGAATTAGTTCACCTTTTGTCATTTGCTTACAAAACATACACCATGGGATGTCTGTTGTCCAAGAAAGATACAAAAGTTTCCTCCCTTTTAGTAAGTTTCAGTTAAATTATATTGCTACAGTGGATTTTGAAACTATCTGTAGTTTTCACAGTAAATTCATTGAAATGTTTAAAATGGAAAAATGGAAAATGCTTACAGGAAAGTAATCATTACTGATAATGTTTATGTCAAGTTTTCCATTCACATATTAAGGTTTTTCATTCACACACTGCCTGAGAGTTGCCAGCCATATTAGATGTGATACAACAGCCAGTTGCTAGTGACTGGATGACAGTGGTCTCTGGAGTTTCATGGCTCCTGCTGGGTTAAATATGACAAAGAAAAGAAAATGCTGCACCAAAAACTTCCCAGTGATTGTTTTATTTGCTAGCAACCATATTGCTGTGGTTGCCTGTAGTTTTTCATATTTGTCTGTAAATACTTGCTTACTACTAGCTGAGCAGTAGGCAAATGGTTTATTGTCGCCACTGGCCGGGCCGGCGGTGTGGACACACCAGTTTGTGAATGCGACAACTCGAGAATGAGGTGACATGGGAAGTTTAAAATTGATAGGTGCTGATATTAAAAGTTAGGCTCTCAGTTTTTTTGAAAATCTTGTAAATGCGATAACTTAGGATTTTGAATAAGGCAACATAGGATTTTGAAATTGTTACCACAGGTATCTAATAGGAGGCTGGCAGGTGGCACTGGCAGTCACAAGTATTTTTTTCTATGTTTTGTCTACATGACAGTCTAACAGTCACACTTATTCATCCAGTGAATACATCGGTATCGGCGCTTTGAGTGCTCAGAAGAGTAGAAAAGCGCTATATAAGAAGCAGTCCATTTACCATTTATCATCGGTAGCAGCTTGGGATTTAGTATCTTGCCCAAGGATACCTTGGCATGCAGGCTTGAGCAGTCAGTAAAAGAACCACCAACCTTTCGAGTAATAGATAACCTACTCTACCTCCTAAGCTAAAACTACTACCTTCACAGCTTCACAGTAATAGTTGTGTTTAAATAGGCAAACCTTTTACTTTGAAGACAAACAGCCTCCTTTTCCAGTTTGTGTCGCACTTTTCTGGTTTCACTGCAGTGCAGACAGTAGGTGGAAAGTGTTTCTATAAGTCGGTCACATCCATTCAAAAAATATACAATATCATCATAGTGGCCAAAGCAATCGTTAAGTTTTTGGGAAATACACATTTTTCCTTAGCAGGGGGGTCACCAACAGGTCTTTCAGCTAGTGTGACTGGGCCTTCAGTGATCATTTTCCCAGGGACTGCTGTCAACCTCCTACAACTCACGATCAGTCAGGGAACACCTTTTCCTTTATTACTGGTTGTAAACTAGTCTTTCGCCCTGTGTAAATAGATTGTTAGCCAAATGTAAGACAATGTAGACCTTGAGTCTGCATTGTCACCATACACCATGATTGTCGCATTTCCAAAATAGCAAATAAGTTAACTTAAATAGTTAGTGGTCATATTTCATATTTTGCGCATCATTTTACAGATGAATGAACACAAATGTTTGTACATGAGGCCTAAAGAAGGTAATGACAATAAGCCTGTCTGAATTTGTAAACCTTTTCCACTTATCATGGAAAGAGTCAGACATCCTACTGAGAAGATCAGCAACACACCATTTCTGATTGGTAACATGAACTTGGGTAAAGTGTTCAGTTCTATTTAATTTCTGTGCAAAATGAAATGGAATTTGCAGTTGAAAATATATATGAAGAGATCATTTTGGTGGCGCTGGTGAATGCTCACTTGCATGCTTCATGAAGACAAGCTTTTTAATGAATAGGAAATAACTTTAAGAATGAATTAGCCTAAAACCCTGCTTCTAGACTAGACAATAAAATAAACTTCTCTGATGGATACAACGAGTGACTGTAATGATAAAAAGAACAAACAATTCTACAGTAATATTTCTACCCCCTCGTTTGACCATATCAGTTATACTACTTATAACGAGTTCAGTCATCACCTATAATTTAAGAAGTCCCATCAGACTGACTGAAAAACTGTTGTATAATGAAGGAATGTGTTTTATCTACATATGTGCCTCCTAAAGTTCCCCTCTTGGACATTCTCAGTCAAGGTGAGCTATTTTTTTTTCCAAAAGAGTCTGAAGAGAATTATTTCTTATTAAAAATAACCTAGAAGCTTGCACTCAGCTGAAATATATCAGGTTTCCATTGTTCTCTGTAACCTTTGCTGGACTTGCTGTGTACTGTACACTTTCTGCACTGAAACAGAGCTGATGCAAGTCCGAGTGTTTATGGTTCTTCATAGTCTGGGTCCTATTTAAGTGGACTTAAATGTGCTCATTATTTTCCATGAGCACATTAAAAGTATAGCTTTTCTGTTAGGACATTAGCAAGCTCACAAGTCTCACAAGTGAGACTGTAAGTTAATCTAGCCAAAGCCATGTGAGCCACATTTTTTATCCTACCTTTTAACATCCTTACATCGCCAGCAAGAAGAAAAGAGCAGAGGGTAAATACTGTCATGTAATTAACTTTAACAGTTAACAAACACATTGACACTTTTTAAAAAGTTTTTGCAGGCAAGAAATTGTCATTGTCATCAATAGGCTGTTGTCTGCAGCAAGACTGCAATGGTGACAATACAATAACAAAATGCAAAATACATTTCAGAGACTTCATGTCAGAAATGGCATGAATATATATATATATGAATTGGGTCAATACAGTAAAAAGAAAATGTGCAGAAAAATAATTAAAATTTTAATTTTTTGGTGAGCCACTGACTTTTTGAGTGGTTGTTGGTTAGCCAAAGCAAAGCGTTGTTTGTGTGTTATCACATATAGATGGTTGGAATGGAACAGCAACGGAAGAATCAGACTTAGACTGGGAAATACATATTCAAAGAACTAAAATCATAGTGAGCTAAAGTAGCTTTCTTCTGGTGAGAAGAAAGCTTTTTCATTAGAAGGACCAATCGGAACCTGTCAAAATACAAAGTAACTGATCTGGTGAAAATGAGTGACTGGCAGTTAAACCAGCAGTAAATTTTGTTTTAACCTTTTTCTTTCTACTTGAATCTGTCATCACATACTATAGACATTCTTCAAGAATTGTACTGAGCAGCTCTTCTCAGACAGGAGAAAAGTAGCACATGAACATCTCAAAAATGACATGGTCTTTTCTACATGTTTTTCCCTAGATGGTAATCCAGTGCAAATATGTGCCCCTGCTCTTTCTCATGTGTGTACACTGTCTTCAGGAGAAACAAAGTTTTTGACGTAATTTATTTAATATATTTTTAGACTTGTTATCAATCTGTTCTTGTGTCCTATGGTATGCATTCTTTTCACACCTCAGAAAATAACTATGTATATATATGTTATATAGAGAAGCAAATCTACAACAACCTACAAAAAACACACAAAAAAAACACTGTATAGGGATTGTATTAGCCTGTACATTTCTAAGGCTGTGAATTTTTTTTTTAAAAAACTTGCATACAAATGTATATATTTTCTTGATTTTTACCCTGCAACTAGGATGTGGACAGAAAATCCTGTAACAATTAAAAGAAATGCAGTCATCTTAACTATAACTTGTGTGTACAGCAGTTGTAGATATGTCTAAGAAAAATGCATTTTTTGTTATTATTTTTAATTATTTTGTCACGGCAACACTGTGAATATGTATATTAAGAATTCACCGTGTTGGTCTCTACCTCTTGAGCTCAATAACTTGGCATTGTTTACCTCCACACATTTCTGATCATGTGGGGATGAAATAAAAAAACAATAACAAAAAAACACTTGAATGTCCATTCATGCTTTTATACCGAAATAATAAAATATTCTGCCCCTCCACATACATCTTCCGACAGACCTTTCTTGCACTCTGTAATACAAAACCTACCAGTAGCCAAGGGTTACCTGACTGTTAGATGTTCTGACCATGATGGTTGCATTCAAAGCTCAGTGTCAGGGACAGCAGTGTCAGCAGTTGAGGTTCCATCATCCATAATTTAACTAAGAGGTGCCCTTATGCCCCGTAAAATCGAATTAGTTCCCAGAACTAAAGTAAAGCTCACTTAAGATAACTAAGGACAGCTTATTCATTGCAAGAATAACTTGATATTTTTGAGTGAGCAATACTAATTGTTTACCCTACTGATAAACATTTCAAGTTCTACTAAGTTAAAAAAAAGAAATTGTGGTGACTTACTATTTTTAATTTACCTTACATACAAATAAATGCAGCTAAATCACATTACGTTTTATCATCCTTAAACTTAAGAGATTTCTAGTACAAGTATGATTCAAAAACAAAAATTAAAAGCACTTGCAATGCAGTTAAAATTATCCCAGCCTTTTTTTCAAATGCAAAAAAGTATGTCAGCCAACATACTGGACACTGTTATGTTTAACAACAAATAAGTATATTCCCACTCCCCCATTAGATTTTAAATATTAGTACAATTAAATTGTACGTTTATTTGTTAAGACAATTTAAACCTTTAATAACCTTACATTGAGACAAATTCTCAGATTTAATTATTCTGAAACTAAGTTAAAGCTTCCCATAACTTTGTATTGCAAGTTACACTGCTGATATACCGTAATCAGTATAAAATGTATTTATTGTTCAGCTCAAACAACACATTTGTTTTGCATTCAAACACAGGAGCTTTGTGTCTTGTAACATTTTAAGGATGGTTTGTTTCCATTCCTGGCATTACTGCCTGAATGACTGCCATGGATTTAGACGATCCAAATGTAAGATAAGATAAGATAAGATAAGATAAGATAACCTTTATTAGTCCCACACGTGGGAAATTTGTTTTGTCACAGCAGGAAGTGGACAGTGCAAAAGTTATGAGGCAAAAATTAGAATACAATAAGAATAAATACAGTACACAACTGTACAGAATAGAATAAAATACTATATACAGTAGAATACAATAAAATAAATATACAATAAGATAAAAATAGAATACAAATACAAATACTATATACAACTGAGTAAAAATACAACGATGACAGAAAGGATTATTGCACTTAGTATTATTGCATATGTATGGATGTGTGTGCTTGATCAGTTAAAGTCTTTATTATGGAGTCTGACAGCAGTGGGGAGGAAAGACCTGCGAAATCTCTCCGTCCCACACCGTGGGTGCCGCAGTCTCCCACTGAAGGAGCTGCTCAGTGCTGTCACAGTCTGCTGCATGGGGTGGGAGATGTTGTCCAAAAGGGATGACAGCTTAGCCGCTGTTCTCCTGTCACTCACCACCTCCACTGGGTCCAGAGGGCATCCTAGAACAGAGCTGGCCCTTCGGATCACCCTGTTCAGTCTCTTCCTGTCCCCAGCAGAGATGCTGCCGCCCCAGCAGACCACACCATAAAAGATAGCAGAAGCCACAACAGAGTCATAGAAGGTCTTCAGGAGTGGGCCCTCCACTCCAAACGACCTGAGTCTCCGCAGCAGGTACAACCTGCTCTGCCCTTTCCTGTAGAGGGCGTCTGAGTTATGAGTCCAGTCCAGTCTGTTGTTCAGATGAACACCAAGGTACCTGTAGCTGTCCACAGCCTCAATGTCCATACCTTGGATGTTCAGTGGTTGCAGTGGAGAATGCTTGTGCCTGCGGAAGTCTACCACCAGCTCCTTGGTTTTACTGGCATTGATCTGGAGGTAGTTCAGCTGGCACCAGTCCACAAAGTCTTGAGTCAGTCCTCTGTACTCCCTGTCGTCCCCATCAGTGATGAGGCCGACTATTGCAGAGTCATCAGAGAACTTCTGCAGGAAGCACTGGGTGGAATTGTGGGAGAGGTCTGCAGTGTAGATGGTGAAGAGGAACGGAGCCAGAACCGTTCCCTGTGGGGCCCCCGTACTGCAGACGACCCTGTCCGACACACAGCCCTGAGTCCTCACATACTGTGGTCGGTCGGTGAGGTAGTCCAGGATCCAGGTAGTGAGGTGATGGTCCACTCCAGAGTTCACCAGCTTGTCCTTTAGAACCGAGGGAAGAATGGTGTTGAAGGCACTGGAGAAATCAAAGAACATGATTCTCACAGTGCTTCCAGCGGTCTCCAGGTGAGCGAGGGAACGATGTAGGAGGTGAATGACGGCATCATCCGCTCCAATGCCAGGCTGGTAGGCAAACTGAAATGTAAGTGCCTCAATGAAGTCTTTGACATTGTTGCAACTTCCCTTAAGTACAGTGGCAGTGGATGTGGGTTGGAAGTGCAATGACCTCAAACCTGCAGGTGACCATCTTCACTGACCACACCTTCTGTGACGGAGGGCTTATCACTACTGGTGTCCTGGAAGGAAACAATCGTATTATTGTATGGTCGACCTTGCAATATAAAGCACCTTGAGGCAACTGTTGTTGTGATTTTGCACTGTATAAATAAAATTGAATTGAATGTAGAACACCAACTTATTTGGCTTTTTAAAAAATGTATTTCTGCATTTCCTATAGAACAGATCTCAAGTTAGACAAACTAGCTGTGTGATTACATTATTAGTAAAAAATACTGTAAATTTGATATAAACAATTGTGGCACCTCAACTTGCTTCTTTCAATGTGGACAAGTAGCAACTCTACTCTACCCCTCTTGAATGACTCTTCACCACAACAGACTGGTATAGCGTCCACATCACTGCAGCTGCAGCAACATCCGTCTGTCGATCTCTCATTCCTCTCTTCGTTCACTCGTGAACAAGACCCTGCGATAAATAAACTCCTTCAACCGGGGCAGCAACTCATCCCTGATGCAGAGTAGGCACTTCACCCTTTTCAGCTGAGGACCATGGCCACAGATTTTGAGGGGGCGATGTAGGTAGAGTGTTCGCCCCATGATTGGAAGGCCGGGGGTTCAAATCCACCGAATTACTAGCCTGAGGTACCCCTAAGCAAGGTACCGTCTCTACACACTGCTCCCCTGGCGCTGGATTGATGGCTTCCCACTGCTTCACTGAGTGAATGGGTTAAATGCAGAGGACTAATTTCCTACTGGATTAATAAAGTATTGTACATTGTCATTCCCACCATTCCACACTCAGCCATAAACTGATGTCTAACCAATCCTGACAGTACCCCTCTTCAACTTGATGTGATTATCACCACGACAGGCACCAACCATCTTGAAGCCTCAGCTCCTTGCAGGAGCCTCAACATTGCCCATTCCAATTCAATGTTCCCAGCCTCCCTCAGAATGCTTTCAGGTGTGCTAGGTCTGTCTGGCATGCGCCCCTGATCCAACTCACCACATTTCCCAAGCCAAAGCACAAATCAAAATTGAAGTAAAACAGGTTGGTTTAAAGTATGATTAAAGTTTAGCACGATCAATGATGATTATTAATATTTTGGACAACCAAAACACTTACCACCCAGTTGATGTCTTCTTGCAAGTGTTTGATGTAATGTGGGGAGTGCTGGTCCAGAGCCTCAAAGAAAGCAAGCAGAGGGAGAAAAAAAAAGAAAATTGTTTGGAAGCTGAGATTGCTTCTTATTGACTTTGCAACCATTATAGCTTAAAATATAGAAACACAATGTACACCTCATACTAACTAATTAGACTAGCACATATACTTATTAATAAAAATAATAGAAAAAATAGTCATTTAAAACACTATCTACTACTATGTCTGAATGTGTGGTATTGCCAATGTCAGTTTAGGCCTAAAGAGATGTGTGTTATATAAAAAAAAAGAGACCACCTAAATTAAATGAAATCATTACATGCTTGTTAAAAGCTAATTTCCAATATATAGTTTCTAAAAAGCACAATAACCATTGTATGTATATTTATATTTAACATAGTCTACCCCAAAATGTTTCTGATGATTCAATTGTAGAGTTTAACTAATTTGTTTAGAAGAAGCTAAATTACTTTATTTTCAGCTATAAAGCCCAATTAGATTGTAACCCTAATCTGGTTTATAGCTTTTGAATTTCACAACAAAACATGAATCTAAAATACTATTAAAACTAACAAATACTAGTATTATTTAAAATGAAATTAAACAGAAATGTTGGTTAAATGTAAAAATAGCTTGCTAAAGAATGGCTAGATTTGACATTAACAGATGCCACAGATATTCAAAAGCAGCAACAAAGCATTAGAATAAATGCCGGGTCTAAGAATATACAGTTAATATGTTATAAAAGTCCATATGAATTAAAAACAAGCCGAACCCCTAAGGGCTGTACCCTCTGGAAATGTTTCGTCTTGGCTTCTGCAACGCTTACTTTTCTATTTCAAATAAGATAAGATAAGATAACCTTTATTAGAGGTCTGCAGTGTAGATGGTGAAGAGGAACGGAGCCAGAACCGTTCCCTGTGGGGCCCCCGTGCTGGAGACGACCCTGTCCGACACACAGCCCTGAGTCCTCACATACTGTGGTCGGTCGGTGAGGTAGTCCAAAATCCAGGCAGTGAGGTGATGGTCCACTCCAGAGTTCACCAGCTTGTCCTTTAGAACCGAGGGAAGAATGGTGTTGAAGGCACTGGAGAAATCAAAGAACATGATTCTCACAGTGCTTCCAGCGGTCTCCAGGTGAGCGAGGGAACGATGTAGGAGGTGAATGACGGCATCATCCGCTCCAATGCCAGGCTGGTAGGCAAACTGAAGTGGGTCCAGTGATGAGCTTGTTAGGCGCCGAAGCTGAGCCAGGACCAACCGCTCCAGGGTCTTCATCAGGTGGGATGTCAGAGCCAAATGAGCAACAGTAAATTTGCTCAGTCTTTTATATAAGGTTTTTAAAGCGGTGGGGTTAATTTTTTAACCAACATGAGCCGAGAGGCAGCACTGGCTAGCTAGCAACTTTATAAAGTGCTAAACTGCAAGAAGGCACAAAAACAGTTTGAATGAGAATAAACATTTACTCACTAAATCAGTGGTGATACGCTGATTGACATATAAGAAATGTCAACAATACAGGTTTGCTCAGCATATTTCAGAGAAAAAAAGGCATGCTATGAACATGTGGATTGATCTGTGCAAGGGATGAGGAAAGCAGTGACATGGCATTTTCAAACCATATCATTTTTTCCTTCCGCTGAAGAGAGACTGCCTCCAGACGGGAAGAAATAAAAGCATGGATGACTGTTTCGAGGTGCCTTGAAAGAAAAGATTTCACTCTTGCCAGTTGCCTTAAATGATAAAAACTGGACTTCACCACTGCTCTAATTTGGCTGTCCAATTTAAAACCAAGGTTCAGTAATAACAGGTTTAAAATAAACTTCCAGGGGTCCCAAATCAACAGAGGACTCACAGTGCCCACTAGGTCCAAACACCAACACCTCTGTTTTCTTTTCATTAAAATTTTAAAGTTTAAAGCCAACCACACTTTAATGTCATCTAGACATGCCAAAAGAGGTTTGATGGCGATGCCATCCTTCTGCTTTAGTGGCAAATAAATTTGGCATTCATCAGCATAACAATGAAAAGCAATCCCTTCCCGTCTAAGGATGGAACCCAGAGTCAATAAATGTAATAATAATTATTGTTAATAATAAATAATAATGAAATAAAACAAAAGAAAATGACCATACCATATGGTTTCATTTTCAGTTTTGAGGGCATTTGTATGAGCTAAGATGCAGTCTCTCAATCTAGTCCTTTGTTTTTGTCTAAAAACAAAAACAAAAAGCAAATCAAAAATTGATTAACTAATTAATACTTTTAGTTGTACTATGCACAACTGGGTGACTTATTTTTTTATATACAAAGGTCCAAAAGTAGTATAAACTGTCAGATAATGAAGTAAAATATAAAGCATTGTGAAGCAACAATAGAGAGCGATGTAAAAAGGGAAGCTCAAGTAAAGTAGGTAACTGTGAATTTAACCTACTTAAGTTATTATTTATTAGATCTTTTATTAGATATTTGCACACAAAGAAGGCAACAGCACCACAAAAACATTCAGGGGGTTTTGTGACTCGAATTAACTGAGGTGACAAAACAAAAACCTGTGGACTGAATGAATAAAATACAGAATCTCTATGCACCAATGGCACACAGTACAATAATATATTTTGAGATCGTATATGAAATATCTAGGAGTATATCCATCCACGGTGCATTCTAAAGTTTGTCATATTATATAGATAGCACAGCATGGGGATTTAAAAAGAATGGGCCTGCAGGTCAGAAGTGGATGCAGTTTGGTCCACTCAGCTTTGCCAAGTGTGACAATTGCAGCGAAGTAATTATTCAGTTTTCAGTAAACATGATGACACCATTACTACACAGGAGATGAGTAATTTGTGATTTTATAACTACAAGGATGTAAAATACTGCTGTTTTGTTGCAAATCTGGTGTTCAGTGTCCAAAAATCACATTATATGATCAAATCAAAAGGGAGGCTGCCCATAACCAAGCAGGCCTGAATCCAGACGAAGACATTGTCTTCAGTCACATCTTCATCAGCTGTTAAATCTTTACTTTTTTCAAAGTTAAGCTCTGTCCACAGGATGGCCTTGGTCACTTCTATTTTTGTTCATTTCCATCACAAGTAAACATAATGTGTTCTCTCAGAAATCTGTAAAATATAGCAAATGTCATAAAACACAATGCAATGCAAACCACAATTAATTTTGTAAATTGTCTATATTTATATGCTAGAACATCTCATTAACAACATAAATAATGACTTGAGCTTGGCAAGAAGACAATTCTTCAGCCAGAAAGGATTATAAAAGTGAAGTGAGACAGCCATCACAAATAGTATGTTTTAAACGTGGTCTTTAATATGAATATAATTTTGTTTAAAAAAATGTATCTTGTTAACAAAATTGTTAGCAATTAACAATTTAAGATATATTGTTCATTATCACCAGGCTGTCACCTGGTAAGAATGAACCACCAGAGCATTTAATCACAAGAATATCTTGTAGACATTATGTATACAAAGACATAATGAGGGGAGCAGTCCATGAAGGACTTAATATACCTTGGTCAATGGACCTAAATCTTCAGAGAGTTCTCTTGTGAAGTAACTAGATTCCATGCAGCATTCACTGTGGCCAGTAGGGTCCTACAAGACAAACCCAGAGTCAAATCTAGATTCCTTTTGATTTTTGAATGCACTTGAACTGAATTGAATTAAAGATAAACTGTTGAACTGGGCAAGCCTACTAGCAACTTCAAATAATGTCAATCCAAAGACAGTGAATCATTTAAATCATATAAGTATCTTCTATCTAGATAGATAGATAGATAGATAGATAGATAGATAGATAGATAGATAGATAGATAGATAGATAGATAGATAGATAGATAGATAGATAGATA